TTTCAATTTTTCTTCCCTTTTCCTTCACTTTCCTCTTTTGCTTCCTTTAATTCTCCTTTTACCACGCAAATCCTTCAATTTCTCTAATTATCTCTTTTCTCTTGTTCTCTCTCCTAAATCTTTTACTCTCTCTTTAGTTTGGTCCCCTCTTCACTTTCTTTTCTCTTGTTCTCTCTCCTAAATCTTTTACTCTCTCTTTAGTTTGGTCCCCTCTTCACTTTCCTCCTTTTCCACCCTCCTTTATTTTTCCCCATTCCTTTTCTTTTGTAAGTAGTTTCTCCTTTTCACCTTTTCATCAAGTACTGTCCACAGGTCTTCGCTTGTTTCTTTTTTCTTTGCTTGTTCTTGCAACCTCCTTAGTTTGGAGCAACATCCCTAAATCAAATCAAATCTTCCCATTTTCTTCTATATCCAATGCAAGAGTAAGATGAGGAAGAAGAAAAAGATGAAAATTATCTTTAATGTTTTAATTCTTGTGTGTGGAGCTACAATATCATAGAGATAGTGCTAATGTATTTTGAAAAATAAATTGAAAGATGTTTTATATGATATTAGAAGTTTTGACCAAAGGAAGGATGTTAATATTACAATTCTCTCAAAGGTTGTCTATCTAATATATTCACCATCTTCCTTTGGTGTTAAACTATTGTCAAAGTGATCTACTCTTGTTTGTCTAACCTAATCTCCAAATTTATTTACTTGATTGTATCTATGTATGATTCTAACACCTTATTTATGGATGAGGTTCTCCCATATGTGGAAATGTGGTATGGCTCCTGGTTGATAAATAAAATTAATTTACCATGGTTTAGAAAAAAAATTATATTAGTGTTTAATCGTTATTTTGTAAAAGCATTGTACAAATGTGTAAAAAATCAGTTTAATTATAAGTAATTAACATTTTACTAGTGAATTCCTACATTAAATTAGAGAGGGTTACTTTTTATTAGGTAATCTAAGACAATAAAAATAAAAAACATACCTACATAGCAAGAATAAGAGTATTTCGAAAGATACATTCTTATTTACAATATTTTCAATTGTAACGAGAAAGTGGGGTGGTAGATGAAAGAGTTAGAGTGAGCCAGTGTTGTTAATAACAAATAGCTACGAATAGCGAAAAGACCCAAATCTGTTATAATATTATAGTAGAAAGTTAAGTGATGTTATTTAAAAATATATAATATAAATCTAATAAATAAAATAAGAGACAAATAACATAGTTAAAAAATAAAAATAAAAAGACCTAATAGCTTATAAAAATGACCAAAAATCACACAAAACAATAAAATAAGCTTGTTAATTTTAATCTTAAATAGCTTCCAACAGAATAAAGAACATGAGAACAAAGGAAATAACAGAATTTAGGAGGCTTAAATCTCCAACAAATTGGACCAAAAGTATTCGATTTTTCCCAACTAAATCCAACAGCAATATGAAGTTTTAATTGCTTAAATTATAGATTGAAATTGAATAAAACAAATTTATTACCACAGCTTCCTTGTTAATCAATAATTAGAGTAACTTTGTATTTTTGATAAAAAAAAAAAGTGAATAAAAACTTTTTTTAATCTTATATTGCAAAAAGATAAGCAACCATATATTATTTTTTAATTCATCTTACTTGTATGTCATGTCATTTAAATTTAACATTTTTTACTTTAAGTTGAAAAAAATTATCACTAAATTACTTAATTTACACTATAAGAAAATAAATATTTTGTAATGCTAAAATTGGTTACAAAAATTCAAAATTTTTTTTATCACAAACTGAATTTGTGTTTAAAATTTAGATTTTTGTGATCAATTCTACCGTCACAGAATGTACATTTTCTTGTAGTGTTGTTAGCTAAATAAAACTAAATTGAATAATGACAAATATTTTTTTATGGTATAGAATAATGAAAAAAATATTTTTTTTTAACAAGGTTACGATTTTTGGGGTGGGGGAATCTAATCCCAGCCGTCGAACTAGGGGATGTACTTTACAAATCGATCTATGATCATTGAACCGTAAGGGTTCAAGTGCGAATAATGAAAATATTTATATTGATGAATTTATACAATTAAATGATATACTAATAAAAAAAGTGACGTTGAATGCACTTCACTTAATCACCACCGGAAGAGGCAGACTTTTTAGGAACCGCTCTCCTTCAATAGTTAATTATTTTGCAATCTAAACTAGCTAGGATTTTCATCTTTTTAAATCTTAAAATAATTTTTAACTGCAAGAGAGAAGGTAGAAAACATTTTTGTAATTTAAAGGATTTAAAGGTTAGTTTACTTAGCAATTACCAAAACTAAAGATTTTGTATTTGTTTAGTGATATTACCATTGTCAGTCTTTTGTTTTTGTTGTCAAAATTTGGATAATCAATTGATAATAAAAAGTTAAAATTAAAAATAAAAATTAACGACTTTTTAAGTACAGTTTTTAAAACTGATAACTAAAATTAATTTTTTTAAGTTATTAATTTTAGAGTTTTAATTTAATAATATAATGTTTAATTTTTTTCAACAAACGGATATGGACCTAGGACTGATTGTTGGGCGTTAAAGGATTTTTGATTCCTTATTAGGCTTGGACTTGGAGGGTGTTTTGCGTTTTGGGCCTTGGCTCAGAAATGCATGGCGCTTCAGTGCTTGCTTCCGCTGGCATGCCGGGCCTCGTGAGATACTGTATCGTCCTGCTTCAAAGACAATAAAACAAGAGTTTTTCTCTTTCTTTTCTTTTTCTTTTTTCTTTTTTTCTTTTTTAAATAACCACAGGGCATCTTTCTTTTTATTTTTCGAAACATTTTCTTTTTATTTATTCTTTTTCTTCTCATTTTCTCTCTTTATTTTTCCTTTTTCCCCTTCTTGGAAGAAAATTGAGAATGCCATTTTTTTTTTCATTATTGCTCAAAGAGTTAAAGATGCTAGAAGGTTCCAACATGGGCTTGGCCGCCGGGGGACTGGAGGGCATCTAGTTTACAATCTCATTTCGACTTTAATAAAGATTTTTTTTTTTTTTTTTTTTGCATCAAATGATAAGCACCATATAATAGTTTTATGAAATAACCTTTTCCTTCAATCTCTTCGGAACCTATCTAAGGGTTCAAACTCAATATCTCTAATATAAAGAAATGTAAACTCTTAACAATTAAAACTTCTTTAAGGGACATTTTAATCCTGTTATTATTGTTTAATTTTAATTATCTATCCCATCACTAATATTTTCTATTTTTCTTTATTTATTTTTAAGAGTAATATACATTAAAAAATATAAATTATTTTTAAATTATTAATCTAAAGAAAAAGTAAAAAAGCAATTATTATTATGGAGTGTATGGTGTATGCCAATAAAAATGTTTCAAAATTTTCTTTGAAATATGTAAAACTACAAACATTTAATTAAGGCACAATATATCTTTGAACAATATGTAAAAGAAATCTCAATTTTAAATTAAATGCCAAGACAAACCATAATAGTAGTGTATGTTAGGGTTGAGGGAAATTATTGGGAGGAGGCAAGGAAAGTAAAATTTTGTGTCCAACCAAATTGCCTTATGGGAGAACACCAAGGGTTAGAGGTTCAAATTAACTTCACCCATAGATATGCCAGCGGGTCCTACAGGATTGGGAAATGTCTCTCTATTCCATGGGGAATTTTGATGGGTAGAATTTGTTCCCATTCTTGTTATCCATGGGAAATGGGTCTTCAAAGGGATTCTCTACTCCCATCAATTTCTATTATAAAATTATTTTAATAATTTTTATTTTTGAGAAAGTGGAGTATTAATTTGTATCACAAAAATTTAGGCAAAACATTTTTAATTAAATGATGCAATTTTGTCATCAAACTACTTCCTTTGTTTTCCCTCGTTTTCCCTCTTCTCATTCGACTAGCTGACTTAATTCAACATCCCTATTCTGTGCCAATTACTCTTCCTCATCTATAATGTCCTTCTTCACTTGTGATTTGTTTATTCCATTGGTGGCCTCTCCATTAGTTTTATATTCCATTGAAAGAGGTAAGTAGAAAGTGAAATACTATGTTTTTAAAAAGGTTTTGAATAATATTTTACAATACAGATACTTATTTTTTGTTGGCAAAAATATGACGTAAGGACTGAACTTACACAAAATTTTCAATTTTGGATTCAAACTTCAATTGCAATCAATTAAGGTCCCAAATTATACAAAATTCTCAAAATAGGTCCCAATTGGACAGAAAACTAGCTTTTGTCAAATCTCCTACAAAACACCATAAATGTCTATCACACTCCACCCAACTGAAACGTAACTGGAAAAAAATTATGTTGACATGTCAATTATTTTTGCCATATGGATGCCATGTAGACATGATTTATGACCCCACAAACAACTAAAACTCATTGGTGGGCTTTTTGGTCTTTTTGACCAAGGATTCCCACAAAATCCCTAAATTTAACCTGCTTCATTCTTCGTTCTTGAAACCGCAAGCAGATTTGGAAAATTTACAAATAGAGTAAATGGGTCCAAAATAACGCCACCTATCAACGGCATCGATTTGGCCACCGATATTCAACTCGGTTTGCTCACATTGAAATTCCGGTACACTCATTCGGATTTGGCCAAAGCAGCG